AAAAATCTTTGCTGATGTCGACCCTTACCCACAATTTAAAGTAATTCACAGACTCTCTCCTCTTTACTCTTCTCTCTGTGAGGAGCAGCAAGCTGTCAGAATAAAGTGAAAAACAAACAATGGCATAAAATATTATTAATATTTCAGGTAGTAATAGATTTATTTATTTTCTTCTCAGAGTGTACCAGAATGCATAGTTTATGTTAGTATTTCTAAAAATCTCCTGGGGGAAAATCCCCCCAGACCCCCCTTCTGGGGATGGGTTTTCAGCATGTGTGCCTTTTTATGCAGTTCAGCTTTGATTTCATCATCTCATTAAACCTTATTTAAAAGCATACTTTAGTTCTGTGAAGGGATATATGCACTGTACTTCACTTTAATTAAGATTGTATGCCAAAAAGCGTATATTACAGCACGATTTTTTGTTGAATAGATTTGAGTGCTTCAAAATGTTGGGTTGCGATGTATTGACCAAGTGGGTCCCGAGGCCTGACCAGTTGAGAACCACTGCTTTAGATGCCGCGTTGTTTACATTAATGGTATCACTGATTCTCAAGCGAGACATTATAAGATTTTATACTGACCGAGGGAACAAGTTTTCTGTACCACGTCAGCACCACGTCAATGTGCTCCATCATACACAGCAGGTTGAGGAAACGCCGGCTGGAGAGGAGAGTGAGGAGAGAGGAGAGGAGTGAGGAGAGGAGAGAGGAGAGAAGAGAGGGGAGGAGAGAGAAGAGAGAGGAGAGAAGGGAGGAGAGAGGAGAGCGGGGAGAGGAGAGAGGAGAGAGAAGAGAGAAGAGAGAGGACAGAGGGGAGAGGATGACCAATGAGAGAGGAGCGGAGAGAGACAAGAGTGGTGAAAAAAGGGGAGAGAGGGAGAGGAAATGAATCTCCATAATTCAATCGAATCAGTATATTTGTCAAAGCTTAAATAAAAAGGCTATGGCATTAAAATAAGTGACTCTACCATGAAAGACATTTAAATGGATATAAATACATTTCCCTTTGTCATATATATGCGTCTCATCTTCACATATCCTCCGAATGTCTTTAGGTCTTTACAACCATTTGTGAATCAAATGAATGAATGTATTTCATGCTACACCAAGGCTCATGAAATCTATATTCTGCAACATTCATGTGGTTATTCATTATTAGGATATATATAGTATATTTAAAGAACTTTCTCCCAGTTGCTTCCTGCCCTCTGAGGCTTGGATGGTGGAGGTACAGTGTGTGTTGAGGTTAGTGGAAGTCTTTGTCACTTACTAGAAGGAACTCTGCTGGTAGAGAGGTCCCAGCAGCCTCCAGTTCTCCCCGTGCTCCAACAGGTTATACACCCTGTAACCCAGCTCCAGATCCTTATTGTTCACACACTGTCACAAGCGCACAGAGAGAGAGAGAGAGAGAGAGAGGGAGGGAGAGAGAGAGAGAGGCAGGTCAGTGGACCAACACAATAACAAAGAATGGGGAGACAGTCATCTGCATGACTAGAAATGTAAGACTTTGTAAAAACGATGACAGTTTGAATGTAATCAATGAAACGCTATCATCCAATCAAAATACATTAAAAAAAGTTATAGTTAAAAAAATGGGGTACTTAAAAAAATATGCTAGGGTTAATCAAATTGGATTCAAAATAGAATCAAAATAAGAATATTTGTATTATTCCAAGTGAAACTGTTTTAGAATGAAAGAAAAAATAACTCAAATAAAATAAAGGACATTTATATTAACATGGGTTAAGGTAAGATTGAGCAACACATATTTACATTAAATTATGTCCAAAAAAAGAAAAGAAGTTAAAGTAAAATGCTATTTATATAATTGTATTCTTTTTCATTTGAAAGCAGAAGGAGTTATTCATATGTCAACAGTTCCCTTTGTGTAACAATTAAAGAATGCAGATCAATAAATAGCTTGATGGAAAAATAGGATCGCAATTAAAAAAAAACTTTGGATAAAGACATTTGTTATAAATAATTTAATAAAAGATACTTACTATTCTCATTGCGGTGGAGAAGAATAGAACTGGGAACAACAGAAACAAAAAATATCAGTAATCAGTATACATCTAAATATGGAAAGTAAAAAATGCATCCATATTTATGTAAGAAAAATGTATCTGTATATTATAACCCTTTAGTCAGCATTTCTTCCTCACTTGCATATACATTACAAACCAAATAAGGACCAATTCCACACATGCACCCCAACATACCATCATCGGGGTCCTGGCAGGTGAAGCTTCTTCCCTCCAGTTCTGACATCACTTCCTGTAGAATGTCTGTGTTGACCGCACCAGAGGAGGAGGCTGGAGTGGAAAGACAAAAGCAATGGATGACTTTTTTTATTGGACTTTTGATTGTTGCAAAATATTAAGATCTGTGGCAAATACACAGTTATGAAACTACATTTTTCTTTCCATCGTCAGAAGTAAAAAGCTAACGTTAAGCTATAAACAAAGTACATTGTAGTAAGAGGCAGAGGTGGGACCAAGTCATTGTTTTGCAAGTCCGAGTCAAGTCTCAAGTCTTTGCGCTCAGCGCAACTTACATGGCGGTGCCGGCCGTCAGCGAAACGAGCCGGCCTTTCTGCGTATCTGTCACTCAAATGCGGGACATATGACATATTGACATATCAATTTGTGGGACGTGGGACAAATGATAAAAACGCTGTGTGTGCAGTCCCGCACAAAGCGGGAAACCTGGTCACCCTACACACACACGGTGCTGCCCCTAATATACACACACGCTTCAAATCAATTTGCATAAATAGCCTATTGAGCTACGTTTTTATTGTAATTACTGTGAAATGTATTATGTTTTCCTCATTATTACAACAAATACACTTGCAACTGATAACACTGGCAAGGATTTTATATTTATTAGACTATTCAAAAAGAATCATGCTTCAAAAAAGTGGGGGCTCCAAATAAGTGGGGGGACGGCGATCCCCCGCGTCCAACGACCACTACACCACTGGTGTTAACTGAACTATATTTACATAAAACGTTGGCAGGGAAATTATGTGCAACGGACAGAGACATGTCCTCTCTTCACACATTAGCATTATTGCTTCTGGAGATTGATTTTTTACTGGATGATTGTCTTTGTGGTAACAAAAAGGTTGACATTTCCTTAAAGAAGCCTCGCCAAAGAATAACATTTGGGATTTCTGTTACTCCTCTTCACTCTGTTGATTCATATGCTGCTAAAACAAAATGACAAAAATCCTCATTAAGTGCTGACTTTTCATGCAAATTGAAAGCTCAGGCAAATTTCCCTGAGAACTACAAACCACCGTTCCTACGCAAATGTTTGACTACTATGCTTAAGAGTCAACAAAGCTGAACTACTGTCAACTGACTGAGACCTTCATGCCAGTGCAGGCAGGACAGTGTGATACCCGACAAAACATATTTTCTTTTCTATATAATACATTTTGTTTAAAAGAATAAAAACTAATCAAAGATGACTTTATAAAGTGTTGGTATTAAAGGTAGGGTAGGTAAGAATGGGGAAATCAGCTTGAGTGCGCAATAATTTGAAACTACGCAGCCGAAAAAAATCTGCCTCTTTACTTCCTTCAGACTTCCTTACAGAGTCCCTCCTCCAACACACAGAAAGGCGCACATGACCAATGAGGGCACGAGATAAGTTTGTGCACGAGAGAGCTTTTTACAGCGCCACGGCTTCCACAGATAAATTTTTTTAATGTATTTATTGTCAAAGCATTTAATTAATGAATTGCTATCGGGATGTTAAGAGCATTCCATGGAATATAACAAAAAGTGTTTCTGAAGTGAATGACCTACCCCGCCTTTAAGGTCAAATTGTACCTGAATACTGTGAGTGAGTTAATTGACAGTTCCCAACATACTGCAGAAACTCTTCGGACAGAGACTGTTTCAGGGGCTATTTTTTTAATTAGTTGTTTATGTCTATAGAATGTAAAGACTCTGTCAAGGTATATAAATGTTACTGTGATTAAAGATTAGTATGGGAAACACTGTGTATGCATGGATGAAAAAGGATGAGATCATTCAGACCAGAGCGACAAACAGATAACTAAGTTCATTTACTAAAGTATTCTACTTACTATTATTTTTCGACATACTTGTAATTTACTTGAATATTTACATTTTACGCTACTTTATACTTCTACTCCAATACATTTTATAAGCAAATATTGTACTTCTTACTCCAATCCATTATATCACACTAATAGATACTGGTTACTAAAATAGGCTCAACATTTACAATCTACAACATAAAAACGTATTTGGTAGTGATCAAAAACATATTAACACAATATTCTATAATAATATAAAACTGTGAAAGATCCATTCTTCACAGATTCCTTTACTTTTAATAATTGAAGTACATTTTGCTACTAATACTTCTGTACTTTTAAGTACAATTCCCTATTCAGGACCTTTACTTGTAATGGAGTATTTCAAGACCATAGTATTTTTACTTTTTCTCAAGTAAAGGGTCTTGTTGCCCCTCTGTGAATAGCCACTCATCCTTCGTGGGGCGCTGTGTCTACGGACCTACAGCCCTCTCACTCACTCTGCCTTCTTTAACAAAGCGCTCTCCTCTGTTCCACCTGTTCTCTTCCTATTGGCTAATTTCACGGCCGCTTCCTGCTACGTACTTTGATTTGTGACAGCGGCGTGTAGTTTGGTTACGGATGTTGAGGAGGCTCGTCGGTAAACTGTGAACACTCTGCACTGGCGGGTTTTTCAGGTCGTTGTTGCAGCAGACAGTAACCTTTTTGACGAGAAGAGATGGCCCTGTGCTCCGAGCCTGCTAGCGTTAGCTCCGAGGTGAAAGGAGAGCCGAAGAAGGAGAGGAAAGTGGCCGTTATCACCGGCATCACCGGACAGGTAACGCTCATACCCCAGCAGCATCTCACGTTAGCTACACTGTTGCTCTAAAACAGCTTGACACCTCCTTCGTCGTGATCATAGACTGTATAAAGATCGTGATGCATTCGGGAGACGTTTTCCTGGCGTCTATACCTGTGTCAGCTACTAAAAACTCAAGTCTTTCCATGATTCATAGTGTCTGTCACTATTGAGACTCAGTTTCCCATAAAACTTAACCTTTAACCCAGGGTTGCCAACTTTGGGTACCTGGCTGGAGTGAGATTTTTATATACAGGACTGTCTCAGAAAATTAGAATATTGTGATAAAGTTCTTTATTTTCTGTAATGCAATTAAAAAAACAAAAATGTCATACATTCTGGATTCATTACAAATCAACTGAAATATTGCAAGCATTTTATTATTTTAATATTGCTGATTATGGCATACAGCTTAAGAAAACTCAAATATCCTATCTCTAAATATTAGAATATCATGAAAAAGTATACTAGTAGGGTGTTCAACGAATCACTTGAATCGTCTAATTAACTCGAAACACCT